AATCCGGAATCTTGCGCTTGGAATCCGGAATCCTCTAGTTCTCTGGATTCTCTTACATGGGGCGATACATGTCCAAGACACACACAAAAATTATGTCGGTCTTTTATCTAAATTGTAGAGCCTGTTTAAGACAATTTCTGGTGAAATGTATACCCTGTTTAAGACAGCAAGGCCAACAACCATACCCTGGCCAGCGGCACGTCCCCGCATAGCAARTATATAGGAGTATATCGCAATTTACAAAACGTCATCTCTATGGAAATGATCGTCTTCCTTATTCTCTCTAGAGGTCCATAACGTCGTCAGTYATTACAAATCTACTAAACTCGTTCCATTGTAAACTGGGAATGTTGCTTTGTATGTTTATTTTAGTGTGTCGAAGTTGAAGGAAACGGCCATGTTTCTGTCATCTTCAAACGATACCGCAATCCATCTGGTCGCAAATGGAATGGCAAGTGCTGTGACTTTCATCTATGGGGGAAACGATGCAGAATCAAATGCAACACGTACTTCAAGATTTGTTTATCAAACTCTGCTCATCGTAACTCAATGAGTGGCTGCTCCTTGGCGAATATCAGAACTTCCAAAATGGGTCATAATGACATCGTAATGCATTTAGCTATTGGAAGAAAGTTTTCTTCCTTTTCTGTGAGTATCTTTAGAGCATGTTCTTGATTTAGCGACATACAAACTGATTGACTGACCGACAAACTATTCGACTGACGGACGGACCGGCAAGCAAGCTACTAATATTCTTAACTGATCAAATGTCACGATCTCATGCATTCAAGGGAAAAATTGGTCTTTACGTGGAAGCGTGGGACTGGGACAGCATTACCAAAGATGACCTGATTGACAAGCTGTCTGTTACGTTATCTGTTCTTCGACCCAGTCCTAATGGTAACTCATTGAGTTCGTATTATCGGACATTGCGTGGTCGGCGAGCCACTCTCCGAGTCGAATTCAAGGTACCATATACCAACRGTTTGTAATTAAAACTCGTTTTTCACAGATCATTGTTTTCATTGGATTAAGGGTGGGGCTCCTTCAATTACCGACCCATGATGGTCACCTATCATTATCATTACTATACTTTATCATTATCATTATTACCATAGGTACACTGCAGTGCAAATTACTACGGTGATCGGTGCACCAAATACTGCAAAAACTCATACAGCAAGCAAGGTCATTACTACTGTGATTATGGCGGCAATAAACGCTGCTACAATGGTTGGTATGGCAACAAGTGTACTAAACAATGTATAGAACGTGATGATGACAAACATGGTCACTTTAGATGTGACTCGTCCGGAAACAGGTAACCCACGTCGATGATTATTACAATCGTTATGTTGATAATTTACAAGKATAAATTATTTACTATAGGTTCTGTCGTTCAGGCTGGTACGGCAATGAATGTAAGAAGTATTGTGTTTCCCGCGACAATGACATACATGGTCATTACGTGTGCGATGCCCWTGGTAACAAAATATGTCGCACCAACTGGTATGGCGAATCCTGCAAGCGCTTTTGCAGTCGGAATGCTAAAAGTAACTTCAACTGTGACAAGAAAGGTAAAATCAACTTCATAATGATGACACTCTACTAACATTTTGGACTGGTTCAGATGAACAACGCAATCGTTATTTTTCTATGTTTTCTTCCGTTTGCCTTTGATACATGGAACGCGGAGCAGGGGGCTGGGAGGCTAAAGCCCCCCAATAATTTCTCCGACATTTTGAATTTTCTTAAATAAAGAAGCGAAGAGCCTCCTTATAAAATTTCATCATATATATTCTATAAAAATTGCTTAAAAACTGAGCGTGAACAATTAAAATTGAAGCTTTYTTGCGAAGTCTTTGGGATTAATTGATAATATCGCTGACTGTGTGTGCGGTAAAAATGTCTTTGATAACGCCTCATGACATTTCCGAGAGTTAAAATTTCAAACATTTCCGAACCCTCCTAGTACCTCCTCGCCGCTAGCCCCCCCAAACAAATTCACGCTCCGCGGTCCCTGTGATAACGCCTATGTTAACCCAGATTTTTTATTTGAAACTCGTTTTCAATCAGGGAGAATAGGGATACTGTCTACAAGCGCCCTGATTTCAAACGTTTTCAGTAGAGCAAACCAGCACGTTATATGCTAGCCTTAGCCAACCTCAGTTAATTTGATAACACTGACAAAGCATCTTGAATTTGGTGATCTTACTAAACTTACCCTACAGGYAACAAAGTGTGCCACGAGAAATGGTTTGGTCCTTCATGCATAAMATACTGCTCTCCAGGCTCTAAAATGCGTTGTGATGAAAATGGCAACAAATTTTGYCTTGTGGGGTGGTATGGAGAGCATTGTGACAGGCAATGTGTTCCAAGTGATGATGACGTTAAGGGACAYTATAATTGTAGTAAMAATGGAACAAGGGTCTGTTTTCCAGGATGGGCTTCACCTGATTGTAAGGTGAGAAAACTGAATTTTTATATCAATAGTAAAAAAGAAAGGGGTACAACTATCGAATACCCCGCCACTCAAACCGTCTACCTGTAGCCGGATACGCGGCTACAAAGTTACGAAGTGACATAGACACAGGGATACCAAGATATGTATATCAACAACTTCTGACTCCGTAGCCGCGTCGCCGCGTAGCCGCGTAGCCGCGTAGCCACTTCATAATTCTTCGTTTGCAATATACGTCACAGCCGCCATCTTGGTTGAACTTCAACAAAGGATTTCTAATTAGTATCTATTGTTCATTCAACCAACATGGCCGCCGGTCTTTTATCTTTTGAATCTCATGGGAATGATTGAAAACGAGCAATATATTGCCTCGTTCTTAAAACACAGGAAGACCGGTAGTTCACTTATGACTTGATTTTGAGCTGTAGCTGCTGTAGCCATCGTCAATATGAGGCGTTTTTTTTGCGGGGTATTCGATAGTTACTCATCTTTACTCCGACGAAGGACCGAAACGTCAGTAAGTTATTTCACCTACTTTTTTACGATGTTAAATTTATCGTTTTATACGCAACTATTTTTTTAGAAACACCGACGCAGCTCACAGTGGTTTACCACTATCTAGTTACCAGCATTTTTGAACTCAACAACAGTTTTGGTTCGGCTGCACGCTGGTTACGTTCTTGCTGTTTCGTAACGATCAATACTCTAAAGTAAAACTTGATTTTTTAAGAACAAATGCCTTTTTGTATTTCGGCTTTTCAAAAACTACAAAATTCATCGCTTGATTTTCTTAAAATATTCCCCCTCATTTTCATAATTTAAAGCAGGYTAAGGCAAAATGTCAAAAAAGGATACCCTACCCCAGACCTAAAAGCCAATAAACCATACCCGGCCCTAGAGCGCGGTACATACCCGTATAGCAATGTCACCAACATCTTCACTCAGAGAGGCCAGGGTCATAAAACTGCAGCAAATCGATAATATACTAATTTTACACGCTCACTGATTCAACCACCTCAAAAAATAGCTCGTGCGAAATGAACCCAACAGCTAAATTAGAGAGAAAAACTTATCAAGATCATGTAAGATCATGTAATTTCCTGATGTAATTGAATAATATTAAACTTTATTTGTTGAAATTATGATTTAAACTGCGGTTATTAAACGTGTGAAGAATTGTGATCGTCGCAGTGAAATAATAATAATTTAAGTCATTTTATTGTGTTATTTTGCGACRATTCTTTACACATTTATTCAAAGCATTTCAAACCATTATTTCAACATTTGTTACTATTCAGCAAATAAAATGACCGCTCGCCAACATAGTTGTCTTCATACTGCATCGGCTTCGCAGAGGTCATGGGCAGGATTCCTAAGCGATACATACTTTTTTACGATATAGAAATGAAAGAAAGTTATAGTGCTTAGAAGGAGGCAATTCCGGGATTAGTCCCTTAGGAATAAATTCGGAAAAATTAATTTCCGACCTCGCTGGGATTCGAACCCACGACCGTCGGATTTGTACACCGATGCTCTACCAGCTGAGCTACAAGGCCAGACTGGGAGCAGGTCGGGGTGAAATAGATAGTATATATACTTTTTTATATGACTTAGATAGTACGCGCGCTCTGATTGGCTGAAAACTGGTCCGTGAAAGCGCGTATCCAGACCGCCGGTCAGTCTTTTTCCGTATCCGGACCGGAAATTGCTAAACTGATGGTCGCACGGTAAATTTGACTTTGAAAAACACTAAAACTAGAAAGAAAAATATACATGTAGTGATGTCTGGCCCTGAAGAAAACAATATAAAGTTTATTAACCTCGTTTGCTCGGTCTGTATGGTAAAATACCAGACCTGATATTCTGACCCCGGATACAGACCGAGCAAATGAGGCTAATAAGCGTTTAGTATATTAGCAATCATTTAGATTATTTTTTCTCTGCGATGGACACAATTGTTTACAAAAACCTTTTGTTAATTAATTTCCAGAYATGCCAGGAAGGGTTTCTTCCTCCAAATTGTCAACCACTGTGTATACCTAAGAGCAACCCACAAGATGGTCACTTCGCTTGTGAYAAAGAAAACAACAAACAGTGCTTGATGTGGTGGTATGGGAACAGATGTCAAACATACTGCGTACCCCACAACGATGCCATAAGTGGACATTATACGTGTGATTCCATGGGAAGAAAGCAATGTATTCTGGGTTGGTATGGGTCAAACTGTACAAAATCTTGTCACATAAATTTTAACATCAATGAATGCAAGGAATATACAAAGTTATGCACAAGTGGRTCTACATTGCCAAGCTGTAATAAGTGTTTACCTGGTTTCTATGGAAGCAACTGCTCTCTATCATGCGTCAAACCTGAAGCTATCAACACATCCAACATTCTGTGCAATATAAATGGAAAACAGATATGCGGGAAGTGGTGGAATGGACTTGAGTGTGACGTATATTGTGTCCCTCACGATGATGACTTCAATGGTCATTACATTTGTGATATGAATGGCAGAAAGAGGTGCCTTCTGGGATGGAGTGCCCCTGRTTGTAAAGAACGATACACTGTGTTTGACAGCCCACAGTAGATACTTTTAAAAAAGGTTTCATTAGTCTGATGTGACATTTAGATGAAACTTTAATTTTTATGTAACAACTCTTTATTAAGAAATGATTAATTGGTTAATAGCATGAGAAACTGCTGATGGTGCAATATCAGCATCTGACATCTATGTATCTTAAACTAGTTATATTATTCACAGGAGGATTTTTTTCTACTATACTAATTATAGTTTTAACACTTTGCAATATCACATAAAAGCATTTTTGACAATAAAGAGGTAACCATATGATAAGCAGCTTTTGTCAAATGCAGTCTTCATATCAGACCATGTGATATCCATCCACATAATCAGGTATAGAGGCRTGTAAAAAGTCCTTATGGCTGAGACCCAAAGCTATACTTGTCAAAGACAGGCCAAAGGATACTGATCACCAGCAAAAGTATGATAGGCCAAGAAACAGTTCAAATGATAGATTTGGACAATCTCTACTTCTAATATTCAATATTTTCCCTGTGCACTGCTACTTCTTTGCTCTGTGTTCTCTTTTGCCTCATCAATTTCTGTCAGTAGTTGTGAAATCCTTTGCTGTTTTATGTAAAAAAAAAGAAAATAAATTGAAATATACAAAGTACTGTAAGTAAAGCTCATAATATAATACTCACTGCAACATCTAGCCTGTTTCTCATCCGTCTTTTTCTTCTTGCTGTTTCTGGTGCTAGTCTTCCATCTATTTCAATCAAAATTTTTAGTCAAAGTATGTATCACTGAATAAATAAAACATCAAATATCAGTACAAGAAATTGAGTTTTCTCACTGTGTTACACCTTTTGTTTACTATAGYAAGTTTATACAGGAAAACCATTTTTATAAATATGTCAAATTATTTTGGCATATTTTTTCAGGTGGATGTAGGAGAACAGGTTTTTTAGTATACATTTATGCAWTATTCACTGTGTTTGAGTACATAGAAATTATACAAAGTAACACCACAATAGTTGAGGTAACGGTTTTTATACCATTTTGTTTGGGYAGGCAAAGTCTTGCAAAATAACAAGGAAGCAGTGTGAAATCGATGTCAAATAATTCTAGTTATAATAATAATAATAATGTGCTATTTATATAGCGCAAATATCCATAAGTTCATATGCGCTTTACAGTAATAAGAATTGAATAATTAACAATAAAACTTGTAAAAAAGTAAACAATATAACAATAATAATGACATTGACTTCAATACTAATACTTTTTTTTGATACTTTTTTAACATTTCAACATATACGTATTAAGAATATATAAATATAAAAAACAAATCTTAAGTTTATATCTTATAAAATACTTAAAAAGGAAGTTAGTATGCCTGTAGAAAAAGCCAGGTCTTTAAAGCTTTTTTAAAATTTGATAAACAAGAGCTAGATCTGATATCACTTGGTAGTGAGTTCCACAATTCAGGACCAGAGAAAGAAAATGCTCTTTTGCCATAAAGCTTAAGATTAAAAGAAGGTTTAACTAAAAGATTAGATGAAGAAGATCTTAAAGAGCGTGAGGGTACGTACGGATGCAGAAGATTAATTTGAAAGATAAGAAGGAGTATTTTCATGTAAAACTTTAAAAGTGATTAAAAGTATTTTATATTGAATACGCTGTTCAACGGGCAGCCAATGCAGGTTAYTAAGAATGGGWGTGATATGCGCATATTTGCGAGAGTAAGTTACAAGTCTAGCTGCAGCATTTTGCACATACTGAAGCTTTCTTAGAGTTGTCTTGGGAAGACCATACAGTAATGAATTACAGAAATCAAGTTTAGAGGTCACTAGAGCGTGCACTAGGGTCTCACAGGCATCCATGCTGAGAGATTTGCTGATTTTCCAAATGTTATGAATGTGAAAGAAGCATGCTTTACATGTTGCTGTTACATGAGCATCAAGGGACATATTCTTATCAAAAATAGCACCGATGTTGCGAACAGTGGTTGAAGGAGAAACTTCAAAACCAGAAATTGCGAAAGAATCAAGAAATGGAGAAGAACGTCGTGGAGAGGAGATCATTAATATCTCAGTCTTATCACCATTTAATTTCAATTTATTTTGAACCATCCACATGTCAATGTCATGAACACAGGCTAGTTGAATTCATATTTTAAAAGAATCATTAATTTCAAACATTAGATACTAAGAAAAGGAATTACATGTAATTTCCGGGGTAATTGGCACGTAACATGGATGAAAAATACAAAGAAATGTATACTATGAAGACTAAAAAATCGAAATCGCTTTTCTATGGTCTGTACGCTTATCGACAATGAAAATGGCGTCAGAAAATGATCAAAACTCAAGTGGAACCAYGAGCGCAGCGAGACCATAGAAAAGCGATTTCGATTTGTTAATTCTCTAAAGTATGCARATCAGGATCGAGCCTTCTAAAGTGGAAGCGATAAAAGAGATGACAGAACCATCTGATTTGTCTGACCTAAAGAGAGACGATTTCTCGGTATGGCTAACCAGGTTGGGAAGTACATACCGAACCTTGCCGATCTGACGAAACCGTTAAGGGAACTCCTTGTGAAAGAGAATGCGAGGGTGTGGAACGAAGCACAAGCTACAGCGTTTGAAGTCATCAAAGAGAAACTGAGCTCAACGCCTACTCTCGAGACAAAAGTGTCCGCTGACATCTCATCATATGGTCTAGGGTCTTTGCTCAAGCAAAAGCATGCTGACGACGTGTGGAAACCAGTCGTCTACATCTCTAGAGCGCTTAATACCGACACTGAGACGCGGTATGCACAGTTTGAAAAAGAAGCGTTAGCTACAACATGGGCCTGTGAACGCTTTGAAGATTTTCTAGTTGGAAAACGTTTCCACGTAGAAACCGACCACAAGCCTTTCGTACCATTGTTTGTTAGCAAAAACCTATCTGAACTTCCATCGAGGATTCAGCGACTACGAATGCGGTTGATGAGATTCGACTTCTCCATATCGCACGTGGCTGGAAAGGACCTCATCACTGCTGACACGTTATCTCGTGCACCGTTGAGCAAATGCAGCGACCCAGATGATCTGCTACTGGTCAGCGCATAGAGAACATCAAAAAACGTCAGCGTCAAGATGAAGTATGCCACACGATACTTGAATACACAAGTGCTCTACAGCCATGCTGGGCAGATAGAGGAAGCCTCACTGTGCCACGTGATGACTCCAACGAGTTTGCTAAGTTCGCCAGTGAATGGGACTTTCGTCATGTTACAAGCAGTCCAATCTACCCACAGTCCAATGGAGGTGCAGAGAGGGCTGTGCAGACTGTCAAGAACCTGCTAAAGAAGTCAACTGAGCCAGCTAAAGTGGTACTCACCTACCGTGCAGCGCCACTGAAGAATGGGAAATCTCCAGCTGAACTACATACAATACCTGGTAGCTTAACCCCTTCATGGCCAGGTATCTCCGAGTTTAGAGCTAAGGAAGAGGAGCGAAAGCTGAAACAGAAGGTGTACTTTGACTTGCACCACAATGCAAAGGACCTCAGTACACTAGTTCCYGGACAACGGGTATAGATAACTGACCAAAAGAAAGAAGCAATCATCAACAAAGAGGCAGATACTCCCCGCTCTTATGTCATTGAAACACTGACCAGCTGGACAGGTTCGCCGCAACCGCTCATCACTGGTACCATTTACCGACTGCAAGGATACTACGTCAACCAAGCAGAAACTAGTTGACATCGACATCCTCAGTCCATCAGATTGTTACCGCCGTCAACCGTACTCGTTCGGGTCGCACAGTTGTTCCTTCAGACAGATTGAACTTATAGGGATTAAAAAGAGACTTAATCAAGATGACAATTGAACAATGATTTATAAATTCAAATAAAAGGGTGTGACATTAGTTAATAATTAGTGAAGTTGATGTACAYATGATATCTGATATATATTAAAGACACTTGAGTCGTGTAGTCCTGCTGTTCRCTTGTCTAACATTTTACTCTACAAAATCTTTCATAATATTACAGTCAAATTTGTCACCTCAACTACTTAATGTCATGAACAAGTCAAAATTTATTTCTGGATTCTTTAACATGTGTTTTTTTGCATGAAAAGGGACAAAATTCTGTTTGAGTGTACCTATATTGTATGCAGTCAATCTTATACATTAATTTCTTTACAAATATTAATAACATTACAAAGGTACCTTGCTATGTATTTTAAGTTAAGAATTAAAATTCTTTGTGTAAATTTTAAAACGTTCCTTTTCAAGCACATGATTTTGTTGTTGTCTTTATGTCTTTACAAGTCAAGTTCAACATTAATGAGAATGACTGTACATTGTTAAAATGGATATCATGTCGTACATTTGATATGCACCAACTAGTGACTTTCATTGGTACCATGCAACACGCAAAAAAAGAGCCATTTTCTCTCTCTCTCTCTCTTGAGAAAAAAAGTTTTCACCTGCGTATGACCAATCTGGTTTATCTGTTAATGGTCCATATCTTAACCCATCWGGTGCCTGACCATGGCTGAAATTGAATGAAAGATAAAAGGAATAAATAGTGAAAACCATATGATAGTGAAAACCATATGTATTAGTGTAAAAATAAATGAATGGGTAAAAGAAGAAATACATGTATGTAGATTAAAGAAATGRAGGGGAAGCAAAGGAGTAGTCAGAGTACCATAGTCCTTATTACGACCCGTGGAAAGCCTTGTGATGCGATGCATTTTGGGATTGATAAACAAGGGATGTCAGTGCTCCAGTTTTCTATGATGCAGACTCAGTTTTCGAGAAATATTGGGAAATATTGACATTGTAGTTAATGTCAGAAGCATACAGCAAAAAAAAAAAAACAAAAAAAAAAACAAACAAACAAACAAATATCGGAGCAATTGCAGAATACCCTGCCACTCGGATGAAAAGTTTGTGAAGGCGGCTATGCGGCTACGGAGTCAGGAATTGCATACAGGTCTCCCTGTGTTTTAAGAACAAGGCAACATATTATGAAGTGTCTACACGCCTACGTGGCTACGGAGTCAGAAATTGATCAGTGCGTAGCCGCGTAGCCGGTCAGTGACAGTATAATTTAGTATAGTTTATTGCATTTTGGTATCCCTGTGTCTATCACTGCGTAGCCGCATAGCCGGTGGCYACAGGTATAGATTGTGCGTGGCAGGGTATTTTGCAATCTAGCCCAAATATCAACAAGCAATAGGAAATACAACACGAAAAACCTCCAAAAAATGTACAGTTTCCATTTACTAGGCAAATCAAGCAAAAATGAAAACAAACATATTTTGTCTGTGGAAAAATCAAAAACTAATTAGTGTTTTTACGATTTTTGCGATTTGTTTTTATGAAGAAAAGGAGATTTATATCCCATGACACATTGCAAACCAATTCAAAATGGTGGGCTTCAGGGTCCGTGCAGAGTACCAAAAACGAAATTAAGGACTTTTCAAGGACCAAGATTGTATTTTCAAGGAACATCATATTCATGCTAATTGCA